ATATACACATGATTATGCATATATATATATATGCATATATATATATATATATGCATAATCATGTATATATATGCATATATAATCATATGTATATATAAATATATATACATATCTAGGTCATTTGGCCAAGTGGCAAAGTTACTGCTTGGGGGTTTCCTTCTCGAGCTGGCTCAACTTGTGCTGATCGGCAGAAAGAGTCCCCCGCGAGGAGCTCCGCCTCCTGCGCCAGCACGCTGCAAGCCAAGGCGCACGCTCGGCTGGGCCGAGTGTTTTTGTCATTTGGGAGGGGTGAAAGGGCCCAGGTTTTTTTTTGGGGTTTATACACACACACACACATATATATATATATATGAACAAACAAGAAACAAACAGTATATATATATATATATGAGCAAACAAAAACAAAAGCAACACATGCATTGACTAAACAACAAGCAACACACGGGGGAAGGAGGGATGATCATCGTTGTTGGCTCTGCATGTTGAGTGTCGTGCCAGGAGCCATGTTTTGCTAACACATCGAGGGTTGGAAAGGGGTCGCCTAGCACATCAAAGGCATACATACGGGTTACGCACTCTTCTCTACAAAAGGAAGATCGGTGGTTGCCTCAAAAGTTCGGAGGCCCGAAGATGATGGTGCCCAAATGCGTGGATTGCGTCTCACCGCACCGCTCTCTCAGGTGGCAACAAGACCTTTTGCCCCGCAAGGGCGACCCAGATCAAGCACGGTCAAAAGATCAAGCACGATCAAGTTGCTTTTTGTGTGACAGTTGTATGACAATTGTATGACCTTTCTGGTCCGCCACTCCATAATGCAGTATTTACCTAAGTTTAACCTGATGGGTCAAATGTTGGTATGCAATATTTACGCAGATTTCCCCGCCAGACAGGCCAAATGCTGGTATATTGCTCCTACAACCTCCCCCACAATTAGCTCCCTTTTGGATGTTTTCCGGTCTTTTTGGGGGCCCCTGTGTTTTCCACTAGCCAGGCAAACGATCTCTTTCCTCTTTTTTTTTGGCGGCTGCCCCGCTAAAAGTGGTCTTCCCCAAAAGGGTTCCCTTTTTTCCAGGGTCACCTTGAACAACTGAGAGCAGATTGTGTGGGCATGGTTTAACCGGTTTCGGACCCACCACTCGTCGCCGTTTTGGCCGAACTTCATAGCCCCCTCGAGGGCTACGCCGGCATGGCGTCGCCGATCTTCTCTCCGGCAGAGCGCCGGGGAGCCCTGGTGAAACTTTTCGCAGCGCACCTGAAACACTGCGCAAAACGATGCAGCCTGGTAGGAATGTGTCTAGAAACCAGTTTGAGGTCCATGGGTAATTACTCATTCACTCCCTGAGCTCATGGACTTTGCTTCGTTACTTTCGGGTTTTTGTTCGCCATTTTAGTGGCAAACAACTTTTTGTCACTTTTGTGGGTAGGACCATTTTGGTGGAAGCAGAGTTTTTTTTGCCAGTGCATCGAAGTCAGTCCTTCATCGAGTGATTTGGGTATGCCCGAAGGAAGGTCCAGACTTGCTAGTCCAATAGCATAGTGCCCATGATGTGGGCGCTTGTTTGTTTGAGGGTTCCTTGTTTTCTTTAGGGTTCCCTGTGTTTGCATGTGTCTTGCGAAATTTGCAACTGGGAAACCCAGTGCACCTTTTCTCTGTGGCTGGTTTGAACCACCAGTGACCGGGTTGCCTTTCTTGGATGCTTCCTGACACGTGAACCCCAGCAAGGATTCGTGTCTCGAGTCTGCAGCAGTTTCAGTGGTTTCCATAATAGACGACTAGCATGGTGCCTACGTGCGGATACCAAGATAGGACATGTGCCCAGGAGCTGGTTTGGGAGGGGGGAACGGCACGCATTTGGGTGTGTCGTTTGGTTTGTTGAGGATATCTAGCCACGCAGGCAAACTGCGGCGCGGTTCAAGTCTGAGGGTGCTTCGCCCATGGAGGGAGCGGCAATTGGAACGAGTTCCGAGGCCAATGGGAGGCCAGTGCCCAATGTGCCGTAAACCTCTGGTGGGTGAAGGGGGTGCCCAATTTCATGGATCCTTCACGCTTGGGGGAAGACCCCATGCATCCATTAGCTTTCAACAATCCGGGGCCACGGTTCAAGGGGCTTCGAGCCCTCCCGGTGAAAGGTTTTGAGCCGAAAGGGAAAGGGACCACCCCCCAGGAACCTAGTAAGCCTTGGTTGCCTCAGAAAATGTTCAACCCTTTGCCAGCCACAGGTTCACCGGAACACGGGCCACATTATCAAAAGTCTTGCTTATGAGGGTACCCTTCTTCCTGGTTCCAGCCATAGGAGTCCTTTGTAGGTTAGTTTGACTAGAAATAGATGCGGGTCCTAGATTGGTTTGATTCCATTTGCCGGGGCAGCCCCATCTTTTTGAAGCCAAAACGGAGCCGATCATCAGGGTGTTTATGGGAGAGATATTTACCACGAGCTCTTTTCTGTGATTATTGATTAAAAAAATCTCCAACAGATGACAATCTGGTACCCCTACTGCA